TCAAATTAACATCATTTAACACATGAGTATCATAGACAGTATCACTAGAAATTCTTCGTAAAAACAATTTCTCTCCATCTGGTACAAAAACAGTGATAGCTTCTTGTTTCCGGAACTGTGCGCATCCCTTCATATTGTTTCTGAAGGTTAAAAGTTGTTTCATGGTTATTGATATCATTACTTGAAAGATAAAATATGTTAACACCTTTAGTGTTTTTTTGAGCCCATGTAAACAGATCTTGTGGTGTGAGAATCTGATTTGTAATTGCTTCTCGTAGACTAGCTTTTGCTGCTTCTCTTTTTATAGTACCTTCTATTTCATCGCATGTACTTTTGCCATGTGACGTAGCAAAGAAGTGATGCTCAGTATTTATTTGGTGATCTGTAATGTGATAAATTAAGTTTATTAGACATTTGCAGATTTTATACTGCGGCACAGCACCATCACTGAAGTATTCAACTTTATTCACTGTGGGTAGTTTGATTTTGACCATAGAGAGCAACTTTGTTTTAAATTAAACAATAGCATTTACATTTAAGGTGATCTTTTTCATCTTTGTAATAAACAGCAAATGGGTGTAAGGTAGCTTGATCGGCTAGCCAGTAAAACCCTTGTATAGCATCTTGTACAAGAAAACTATAGTTCTTTGCAAAATCCATTAGAATAATGCAGGTATATTGGTCTAATGTTTGTTTTGCCTCTGATAAGAAAGACTGTACTTCTTTAACAAAGTGGCGGTGACAAAGGTCATACAAAATTTCACTTAAAGTTTCAATAAATTCACTAATGCTTGTTTGAACTGTTTTAGTTTATAGCTTATTTCTAGTAATGATTATGATATACTTTTATATATATATATATATATATATATATATATATATATATTTTATATATATATATATATATATATTTTATATATATATATATATATATATATATATATATATATATATATATATATATATATTATGTATATATACAACCCTCGGAATAAGGAAAAATGTGGTAGGTAATAGTTTGCCGACTTTTTTGAGGTCGGCAAAAATTATTTGATACAAAGGTCTGACCATAAAACATAGAAACGAGGTCAGCAATTTTTTGCAGACCTCAAACACTTTCAGGTCGGCAGTTAGGTTGGCATTGCCAAATGCCGACCCTAATTCCGAGGGTTGATATATATGTATATATGTATGTATATATATATGTGTGTGTGTGTGTGTCTATATATATATATATATATATATATATATATATATATATATATATATATATATATATATATATATATATATATATATATATATATATATATATATATATATATATATATATACATATATATATATATCAATAATCTAGCAAAAATTTCTTAGATTAGATGAAAAAAATTAGTATTGAGAGAATTGTATTCATTGATGTTCATGTGGGTCAAAATCTGAAAGGAGGACAATCCCTGTCTCGAGGCCATAACTATTTCTAAACTGGTTATTGAAACTATGACAAATATTTTTCTGAATATTTAGTACATTTTCTACTAAAGAAATAATTATTTTTGATCATTAGGTAAAATAAAAATAAAAATGTATTTCAATTCACCTCCTAAATTTGATGACATTTTTATTTACAAAGAAGAAAAATAAATTAAAATAAAATAAAAATTTATTTCAATAGACCTCCTAAATTTCAGCAAAGCTATAAAAATATTATATACAGAACATTCAATAATGATGTATTAGTTGATAAATTATATCAGTAATACTGATAGTAATATAGAATATATCAGTAATAATGATAGTAATATAGAATATATCAGTAATACTGATAGTAATATAGAATATATCAGTAATTATAAAAAATTATATAAAAAAATCAGCTGAATGTGCTTAAATGTCATTTCTGTAGTTGTCTCCGACTCTAATACTTTAGAACTTCAGAATCAATAAGTTGATAAGAAATATCTTGTGATGAAATTATGATAAGATAAGATGCAGTATATAGTAATATACTGCAATAGTAATACTATAATAGTAAAGCAATTATATTTCTTTTTATGAGCAAACGTCATATCTGTAACAAACAAAATTCTGTAACAGTCACTTTGTTAAAGCTTTTTATTTACTAAATTGCTACAAAAATGACAAAGATAAAAACTGGCAATCCTCTTACTGGCATCCTCTTACTGAATGGCAATCCTCTTACTGAGTCGTCCTCTTTACGTCTTCTTGGATTATCGCTTACTACTGACCTTTCATGGAAACCATATATACAATCGATTGCTAAATTAGCTTCTGCTAAGGTTGCTTCTCTTTATCGTGCTCGCCATTTCCTTACTTCTGATTCCATTCTCTACCTCTACAAATTTCTTATTCGACCCTGTATGGAATACTGTTGTCATATTTGGGCTGGTTCTTCTAACGATTCTCTTTCTCTTCTTGACAAGGTCCAAAAACGCATTGTAAATGTTGTTGGACCTGGACTAACTGCTAAGCTTGAACCTCTTTCCCATCGTCGTAAAGTTGCATCTCTTTCTCTTTTCTACAGATACTATCATGGTCACTGCTCAAAGGAGTTATCATCTCTAGTTCCATCAACTAAAATTCATTCTCGTTTTACTCGTCATTCAGCTAAGTCTCATTCGTTTACTGTATCTGTCCCTGCATGCTCTAAAAACTTTTATTCATCTAGTTTTTACTCCCCGCACTTCAATCCTTTGGAACTCTCTCCCATCTTCATGTTTTCCTGACTCATACAACCTTCAACTTTTTAAGTCTTCTGTCAACCGTTTCCTTGCTCTATAACTCTGTTCTTTTTTTTTTTCCTAGTAACTCCCAACTTAATAGTGGTTGCTTGCAGCCTTGTTGGGAGTGAGTGCAAATAAAAAAAAAAAAAAACTTGTACATGGTAATAAAATAAAATATAAATAATTTACATAAACACAGTATTCACAGTTATCTTTACAATAAATCCTACTAAAAAGTCTGTTCATTTTTATTTTTGAAATGTTCTGCAAGATTCTTTAATTTTTTTGACTAATCTCTGTTGAAAGTTTCGAAAATAAAATTTTAAAATAATTTTCAAGCTTTGAATTTACAATTTATTTGTTTTTTATTCTAGATATTTAACAAAATAATGTCTGACAAAAAAATTCAAATTGGTTATCAAACTAAAATCAGATAAAAAAAAATACTACTAAATTATGAGAAAAGGAGGCTAAAGAAAAAGCCGCAATTAATAAAATAAAGCGCAATGCCAGAGCTGCAGAAAAGCAAAAACAAATAAAATTAAAGAAAACAGAAACTTTAACAGAAACTCTTCCACATTTTAGTAGAAGATGATGAACCTGTAGTAAAGAAAAGTAAATCTTCTATGAGTGCTTCAAATTAAAATAGAAAGCTGTATTATAGTAAAACTAGCGACAAAAAGTGAGAACAAGTATGGGAGCGAGTAAGAAAACACAGAACTAATCTATCAGCAGATAAACTTGAAGAATGCAGACAAAAAGATAAAAAATATCACAGGCAGAAGAAGATTGAACAACTGGACAAGCCAATTTCTGAACTACCAAAAAGAGATCAATGTAAAACTTGCAAAAAAATCGAAAAGAAATTCTGAATCGTATAGATAGAAAAGCTGCAAAAGCATCATTATTGGAATCTATTAAAACATTCAAATCATTTCTGTAACTCGTAGGTTTATTACATTCAAAATTTATTTTCATTCCATTTGCAGATTTTATCAATCACATTTCTTTAGAATATCATGTTCTACAGCTTGTCTATCAGTTTAAATAACTAGGTTTGTTTATCTCTAGTTTATGCAAAGATTTGTTAAAATCTTTTCCAAATCTTTCAACTTCTGATCCAATGCTTGATATAAATTTTAATCTAGAGTAAAGAATTGCATTAATTTCTTGTGAGAATAAACATAGAGAAAAAAACAATTATAAATGGAAGGACAATAATTAATTTTTTATATAATTTTGGTGTTGTTATTAATTGTTACAGAAATGACGTTTTTGCACAAGTGTGCATCTAAAAGTTTAAAACTGTCAAAAAAATTTCAAGGTTTGATCGTGGACATTATACAAATCTGTTGTGGGACCCTTCTATCAATAAAATGGCAATAGTTGCACTAGCTTATAAAACAATAATTGTTTTTGCTTTTGTACCCTATCATTTGTCCTCTTTTGAGATTTTGACCCATATATTAAATTTATTCAACTCTCATACAAGATGTCATCATTAAAAATATATACATACATATATATGGAATGGAAAATTGTAAAACATTGTAGATCTTACAATCCCACAGTATTTGAAAAGTATCTCATAATATCTTACACCAATGACAACTTGTTAAATAAGAGGAATGAATTAGTTTCTAAATGTAGACATAAAAGCAAATTTCTTCTTTCAAAGTTCAATTCGGGTGATTAGGCAGGCGTTTATAGTTTTTCTTTTTTTCTTTTTTCTTTCTGTTGTTTGTTGTGATGACAACGGAGCACACTTCATTTTAATTTATATTTTAACGGGGGGTTTTTTCTTGATTTTGTATTACATGACCGATGATTACCTTTAAGAATGAAATTATTAGTATCAATACAAGTTTTATTTTCTTTGTTTACAAATTTATATATATATATATATATATATATATATATATATATATATATATATATATATACATACACACACACACACACACACACACACACACACACACACACACACACACATATATATATATATATGTATATATATATATATACATACACACACACACACACACACACACACACACATATATATATATATATACACTCACACATATATATATACACACATGTATGTATATATACACACATGTATGTATATATATATATATATATATATATATATATATATATATATATATATATATATATATATATATATATATATATATATATACATATACATAGTTTATACATGTTATATATAAGTGAGGCTTGTTTTATTAG